TCAACCTGGCAGGGCAGGTAAGTGTGGGGAGGTCAGCCTGATCTTGGTCAGCCAAGACCACCATCAGGGAAAAAGCTTTCCACTGAGATGGGGACCTCATGGAGACACACTGTGCAGGAGAAGAAAACTTGTGGACTCATAGGGTGATCATTGAGACCAGCATGCTGGCCTGGGGACACATCATGGTTTTGGGGACACAGCAATGAGGGTTTTCTCTGTGTGTCATGGGCTGCATGCAGGGACAGGACTGAATCACAGAGACCTCAACTGAGGACGAGTTGTCTCTCTCTTCCTGAACAGAGACTTCCTGTTGACAATGTTGGCTCTCCTTTTGTGCATAATGGGAGAGTTTCAATCTCCCCTGGTCCCTTGGGAAGATTACAGAGGAGGTGCAGAGCTGGCATGCCCTAATGGTGGCCTGGCATTTCTTAGCAGTGCTCTGTTGGCGCTTCTGAGAGGGTGGTGAAGCTGAGATCAGGACCTGTAGTGCCAGCACCAAATTACCCAGGTCAAAATGGGCAGAAGAAACATCATGGAAAGGGAATGTGAGATGGCCAGGATTGCAGAGTAACAAGGTTGTAGAGGGCTCTCACACACCTGTACAGGGTCCTGTCAACCACATGGACAACAAATTGTAGCTGTGTTTTAGTCTCCCCTTGTTTGTAACTGGGCTTGGAAGAAAAGGARCTGGGAAATAAGGTGGTTTTGAGCAGAGCAATAGGATGGTACAGTGCAGTCACACTTGGATGTSAGACAAAGGCCCTTGGCAGTGTTAGTGAGAGCCAGCCCAGCCCCTCTGAGCAGGAGCTGTGCCCAAGCTGCTCCCTGGTAATGGCTCTGCAGTTGTTGGTGTAGCCTCTGCTGGTACTCCCAGAGGTGCACTGATACCAACACCTGCAGTGTGCAACTCTGGCGTGTTCCAGAGGAACAAGAGACCTTTGGGCATGAAATTGCTGCTCAGATTAGATTGTGACCTGAAGGCTCAGCTTTGAGTCTGCTCCCCTTCCAGCTCAGCAGGTTCCCTGTTAGCATTCCTGAGGCTGTGGAAGAGGAGGAACAGCGCACCCCTGCAGCAATGCAGATGAGACAAGAGGACGGGTTGCATTTCCTCTTGCTTGCTTCCTTCTCCTTTTCTCTGCTGCTGTGTGCTCAGTACCCAGCATGTTTTGGCTTGTCACTCTGCAGGGTGGTAGTGCTTGGTGAGGGACAAGCACAGACTGAAGGTCTCATCCCTGGGGGATTTACAGCTCTTAGGACCCRTGCAGGTTTTTGCCTGTGCCAGAACCTTTGTCCTGTGCCCAGGGTCAAGATGGAAATGAGGGCCAGGATCTGGCACTGCCAGATCAGCTGRAGCCCCACTGTAGACTGTCACTTCCTAAGTGTGCTTAGGGCTGCTTCAACAGTGGCTGCAACAAGAATCCCAGCATTTCCCATCCTCCTGCAGGGATCCCGGGATGTCTATGACCACGAGATCTCCATTGGAGCAGATTCCTACCTGCCTGTSGACGACACCAAGATCCCAACTGGTGGGTGGTGCATGTGGCACAAGGAGGAGATGGTCTTTCTGAGTGATGTTTGTGGGTGTGGGGAGCAGCACTGGCAAGGGGGACACGCCAGCAACCCAAGGGACCCCAGGCACAGGGGGGCCCTCACCACTGGGCACAGTCCCACTGCACCTGAGCAGGGTGGGCAGAGATGGGTCCTGCTAACTGGAGCCATCACCAGCCCCAGGGAGCAGGCAGGAGCAGCAGGAAATGGGGCCAGAGGTATATGGGATGTGAGGCTGGGATGTGGGTCCATCCAGGAGAAAAGCTCCTTGTGGCACGTGGAGGAATGGATTCCCTGGTCCAGGTGGCTTTTGCTCAGCCTCGTGTGCCGTGCTTGTGCACAAGCAGGGGAAGAGCTTAGGGCCATACCCAGCCCAGGGTCCTTCTCCCTGCTTTCACCATGGAGCTGTTTCACATCTTAGCTGTGGCCACCTTGCTACCCCTGCCTTTTGCAGTTCCCTCTTGTGCCTGTAGTCTTAATCCTGAGATGAAGATAAGGTTTGTGCAATTATTGAGGACATACTCCGTGTCTGCAATGCCTACTGTATTTTATGTAAGTGCCTGAATAGGAATGGTTTCATTGTTTTTTCAAGGTGTTTTTCTGCCCCTCATGCAAACCCCCTCACCTTTGGGTTGGAGTGACTTTGCACAGTGTTTTGCACTGTGTTTAGTATGTCCAAGGGCTGTTCTTGCTGCTTTCCCACAGGACACTGTATTTCCACAGCAGGTCTTAACAAAGATAAGTGAAATGTTTGGTTTGTACATATACAAATTTTGGTGCATTTTCTTGCTCCTTGTCTGTGCTTTGTCCCTGTTAAGAGCAGCTGGGGGACAAGGTAGGGTTTGCTGGCGTGTGGGTGAGTAGCTGAGCCCGTTGTTCTCCTTGCTTAGGGGAGGTGGCCGCCGTGCAGGGTACCGGATTCGATCTCCGGCAGCCCGTGGAGCTGGGGAAGCACTTGCAGAAGTTTCACCTTGATGGCTTCGACCACAACTTCTGCCTGCATCAGGGGCAGGACCGACGCCTTGTAGCCAGGTAGGCTGGGCCTTGGCAGGAGTCCCCACCCCTGGACCATGGGGTGTCCATGCAGCCAGTCCCGTGACATCCCCCACTGGCATCTCTGCAGGGTTTTCCACCCGCCCAGYGGCAGGACCATGGAGGTTCACACCACCCAGCCTGGCATCCAGTTTTACACSGGGAACAACCTGGATGGCTCCCTGAAGGGCAAAGGTGCTGTCACGTACCCCAAGCACTCGGCTTTCTGCCTGGAAACCCAGAACTGGCCCGATGCTGTCAACAAGGTGAGCTGTCCATTCCCCTCCCAGGGGCTACTGGGTCCTGTGACAGGGCACTGAACCCCCACCACCCTCCATGTCTCTGGGGCATTACATGTAGAAAGAGAGTGTTTGAATGGGGACACTGTAGACACCAGAGGTGAGGCAGGAAGCACACCGTAGCTTTAAACAGGGGTCAGACAGCATGGCAGGGACTAGCCCTGTGCAGCCCAGCTCCCAAAGGTGTGGGGTCTAGAGCAGATGACCCCACTGGGGCTTTGCCACATACTSTTAAATCTCATTAAATCTCATTCCTCATGGCCTGAGTTTAACCAGTGGGAGGACTCACCCACTCAGCCCACTGGCAAGTGGAGGGTGGTTACACACTGCTGCTGGAAATGGCTGGGGAGAGCTGTGGGACTATGCCTTGGGAAGACCAAAGGGATGCAGCCACACTTTCTGGTCCCATGGAATGCACTYACAGCCACTGATGTGCTGCTATCTCTTCCCAGCCCCACTTCCCCAATGTCCTGCTGCAGCCGGGTGAGGAATACAACCACACCACGTGGCTCGTGTTCAGCACTGCTTGAGAAGGGCTGTTGACTCCAGCCACTGAGAGGGGTAAGTGCTTCCARCAGCTGAGCCAGAAATCATGCCAGGTGCCAAACAGAGTTTCCAACTACCCTGGGTAATGCATCCGATGTGGGAGCCTTTTTCCTCCTCTGTGGTTTTAACCTGTGGTTTCTGCTGGCTTTAATTCCTATCACCACCTCTGCTGCTGTCTGGTCTGCGCAAAGCTCTCACACTCTGTTCCGCCTCTCACCCTTGGCATTTGTTTTGTYTTGCAGTAAAAACACACTGAAAACACCTTGTTTAGGGGCACAGCATGTCACAGCTCCAGCTACAGCAGAGGAAYATCTGGTAATATTCATGTGGAGCATGTGGAAAGGCTACTGCCCTTGTGGTTGTTCGTTACAACATCTGCTATTTCCAGCAAAGTGCTCTCTCTAAATGGTGTGCAGTGCTGGTGCAGGAYAGCTTTGAGGAGGACAGTGTGCTGGGATTATCCCAGCTGGCTGCCCTGGATCCTCTGCTTAGACTCCTATGCCCTGCCTTGGTTGCTGAAGTGAGGTGGGCACACTCATTTAGTCCTGAACATACAACTGCAGGAGAAAAACCATCTTAATGYTGTGTTTCCACATGAAATCTCCCAAAACCCTGCATCAGGGAAATGTCTGATGAAAACCTTTACATTTCTGAAGCTTCAAAACAATTGGCACAAGCTGGGGTATGACAGCACCATCCTATTAGGCAGCTGATAGTCCACTCCCCAGGGCAACAGGAACATAGTCCATGTATCAGGAGCCATATCCCAAATTCTGCCTTGCTGCTGCACCCAGGGCCTGCAGCACTTCAGCTAATTCCTTGGCTGCTGAGCTGCAGGAATGTTCTTGCCCCCAGTGGAAGTGCCTGGCCATTGGGCTCACAAATGTGGCAGATCTCTTGCAGTCAGTTCTGCCACCCTGACACCCAAAGAAGCGCCCCGCTACTCTCCTGCCATGCCTGGAGCCCACAGACACTCACAGTAGTGGTCATATTGTCTGTGAGGGGTGTACCCTTGGAGAACAAAGCCCTGTAGCAGGGAACACCAGGCTGCAAACCTGGGAACCCCACTTCCCCCATGAGAGCAGAGTTTGCCCACACACTGGACACCTCAGATACACATCCCCTTGCCCCCATCCCCAGCCATGCTGGGGGGTGCACACCCTGCCCAGAGGCACAGGGTCACAGCAGCACCACTCACACAACACACCCCTGTTAGGGAATCTTTTCCAACTGCTCACACTGTCTGGGGCTTGTGGTGAAATTCTACCAACTCAGCCGAGAGCTGCAGCTGCAGTCTCCAAGGGTGATAACAAGCTGAGGGAAGGCAGCACAGCCACCCTCAATTTTGGGCAGCACAACTGCACAGATGCCAGCTTTGCCACTGCTCCCCCTCTGCACCTTATAAGTGCTGGCTGTCCTTCAGAATAGCTGTCCCACCAGCACAGCCCTGCTCCTGGCTCAGGTTCTCACTACATCTGCGTTTAGAGAAACCCCACCCCCCTACAGCAACCCCAGGCTCTTCTGCTCAGTCTTCCAGTGTCTCTGGATACTGAAAAACAGGTACCAGTAGAGCTGTCGTGTCAGTCTGCAGGTTTATTGTGGAGCAAGTTTGCCTTGAGAGTACAGAAAAGAAAAGGTGATGAAATTCCAGAGCAGTGGCGTACGTGTGCCTCTCACCAGGTACACAATGCACAACCAGTAAAATATTCCAAACACGTTTCACAGGCTTCAGGCATTTGGGCTAAATCGCTGCAGGGTAACATTTGTGTCAGCCCTGCTTCCCCGCTGTGGCAGCGGTGGGATTTAATGTGTGGCCAGAATCCACCTGGACACTGATGGCCATGGTGAGCCCCAGTGAGGAACCAGGCACAGCAAGCACCACAGCAGTGAGGACCAGGCATAAAGGCCAGAAGATGCTGCAGCAAAACAGCACGTTCAGGAGCTGACTGTAGACTCATCCRCTGGAAAAGCTCCATGCTGTCATTGTTAACAGGAAACCTGTTTCTTGAAAATCATGGGTTACCGCAGGTGTAACCAAGTCCATTTTGTCACTTTGTTTATTTAAACCGTTCAGCTGTGGTTACACAGTGAACTACCACTGTAGATTCAATGAGAAGCCCAAGAATGCCTCCCTTTCCATTTCAGTGCTTATTTACTGCTGAAACTGGCCTTTATTTCTCCTACATAGCTAAACCCAGAAACCACCCCACCACCTTTTCTCCCCTCTGCCTACCAGTTTTTCAGAGGCCAATACTGTTGCCAGTCCTTTGCTGTGATCTGTGTCCAAGTGCCTTATCATGCAATTCTTTCATACACAATGAGGACAAACACAAGAGTTTGACACATCTATACACAAATAATTAAACCTGCAGGTTGTATATTTGCTGTAAGAAATTGGCATCATTCAACAAAGCCATCTCCAGGATATGGGTGCTTTACAACCATACCAGTTTCTGTGAAGCAGGTTAGAACTCCTGAGGTCAGCTGAGAATCTTTCACTTTAAGGATCTTCCCTCAAAAAAGGAAAATCYGCCTTGAGACATTTTTACAAGTTTTCTTTGTATCAGTAGCCTAAAGAACTAAAAAATGCAACAAGTGAAAGTAGCAATTGTCAAGTTATTAATGACTTCTATTACCTTTAGAGGTTTCTGCAGATGTTATTTGATTAAAAGATGTGTTTTGGAGGAAAGTTTATCCTTAGATTTTTGGGGCATTTGGTAGCAACAGTCAAACACCAGAGAATGAGCTTTGCAGAATAAGCAGATCAGACAGAAAAAAGAAAGCCCACTAAATATCAAGGAACGAAAAGGGCAGATGCAAATTTTTTTCCATCTGCAAACAGAGATGGATTTTACATTCCATTTCAAGGAAAGCAGGAACTGATCCTTTCACCAAAGACCATTCAACAGTAAACGTGAAAAGTGACTACCTTGAGAAGACACCGCTGGGATTAGTGGTTCCCATTTTAGACATTTTTCATCCACATTACATGGCACACAGCTAAAATTACCCAAACATTAACAGAAGCAGCAGGGTTACTACAGAGAAGTTTTAGTTAAAAATACACATTTTATTTCAATGTGCCAATAAAAAAGTCCCACATTTTCATATCACAGGAAGTTAATTCGTACAATAAAAAGAGACCTGTGCTAGTCTATTGGTGTGACTAACTCAGAAGACCGAGATCATGCCAAATTTTAGTTGATATACTCTTCTATCTACATTCTTACATTTACAAAGACACCACAAAATCCCTTATAATAATGTAAGCAAAATAACTTTCTTCCTAAAAGATTAACTTCATAACTTTAATCCATTCTTTCAGGACTTGCACTTCTTTGAGGGCTTCCTGATGGTGAACGGCTGAAAGGAAAAGAATCCACAATTAACATGCCAGTAGTTGTCTGGGAATCATGAATACAGGAAAAAACAACAGGATTATACCTAGACTCTGGCTCCCTTTAAGCACTGTTTTTTAATAAAGTAACCAATCACTATGGAAGAAGTTAACACACTGATGATTTGGAGATAATACTTTCTTCCTTTACTGTTTTGGTTTTGGGTTTGGTTTTTTTTTTTTTTTTTTTTTTGTAATGAGATCACTGTGAGGTCATCTAAAGGGTATTACTTATAGTGACCTCCAGAGGGGCAAGATACTTCTTCACTCTTGTGATACAGCAGCTTGTCAAAACCCATCATGGTGATCACTCAGCTTATGAGCACTTATTGATGCCCTGGTGACTGTCTGACACTTAAGTTGTAAAAATGAACTATTAAAGAATTCTAATTAAGGGGAAAATGCTGCTGGTTCTGTCACTACACGTATTCTACACATTTCTCTCTGTGCATATGCACTGAGAGAAAACTATTTACTGACTTACTGGGAAAGAAAAAGATAATCTAACAGCAGTGAACATAACAGGCTTGATTTCCCATTCCTGATTGCTGTGGCAGCTTACTCCACTCTACCTTCCCCAACAGCAATGTAGCTTTTAATGAGACTGCAAATTGATTCCCATATTTATTCTGTGCTTTAAGCTCATCATTCTGTGCAATAAAACTGTCAGTGAACCAAAATGAACAGSGAAGCAGACAAAGACAAGACACTGCTATATAATCCTGAGGATTTATTACCACATAAACATATTACCATGTAGAAAGCCACAACCACAACATTATTGCTGTTAAAGGGATCTCAGCAAAATACCTCTCCAGTATTTTCCTACAAGCAGCAGTGGAACTCCTCAGGATATACTATTTAGTGCAGACACTAAAATGCCAGCTCTACAGAGTCTATGCTATTTGTAGGGAGACCAACGTACCTTCTCTTTGGAGATGGTGACCGGGACTTTGATCGGCTGTCAAAACAGAACATTGTTAATGCAGGTTAAATGTCAAATGCAGCTTTTATATTAAAAAAAAAATCCTATCAGAAAGCAATGGAATTATAGGAATTGAGCCAGAAGGTCTTTCCAATTATAAGTTTTCATTTCAACTTTTACTCCGATAGGGATTCTCCATTCCTTTAACATGGAGGTGAATTTTAAGCAACCTTTTCAGCAAACAGAAGAACAAGGGGTGGTACTGAGAGAGGTGAGGCTTTGAGGAAAGCAACATCACCAGATTCCTGCTGTTTTATGAAAAGCATTAACAAAGCTCAAGCTCTTTTATGTGATGGCTAGAAATATTTAACAGAACTGAGCACAAAGGCACAAAAAATTAGTACTATGTTGGAAACTACAAGGAGTTAATGAAAACAATCAGACAGGTAAGGAACACATTCCAAAGAGCTGCAGAGGAAATGTCATAATTTCTGTCACATCACAGATTGGCTGGGGATCCACGTTTGGGGATATTTTTCTAAAGGACCAGGCTCTGTTAATCACACAAATCTAAATCTACTGCAGGCTTTATGTGTGTGTGCTCACCTCTTAGCCGGCGAGCCAGACTTTGATCTGCCATGAGACCTAGACCTGCAACAAGAAAAAACAGCTCAAGCAGGGAAACTGAGAGCCAGCAGGTTCCCACATTTGGGACTGCAGGATTCACTCTCAGTAGATGAGAGCTGTGATGCTGAATACACAGAACCCTGCAAGCTTCCAGGGCTGTGCTGGTTAAGTTTCAAAAGAGATCTTTTTAACTGGATGCTGCACATCCTGCTCTGCACTTTGGTCCCTGGCTGATGACCAGTGTTTGCTGATGCAGGTGGCATGAACACAAGAACAACCCAGATCCTGACCAGTATTTTTACAGAGCTAATAACCTTGCAGGTTTTACTAGGCTTCAGTGACACCTGCCACTACAGCAGCAGACAGCAGACTCCTACAAGTATTTTCTCTGCGAAGTTCATCATAAATATCTCTACTCGCTTGAAGTATTTTTTTTAATGTTTGAACTTCATCCTTATGAAAAAGATGTGAATAGTGTCAGTCGTTGTGAGACTGCTACACCAAAACAACACTAACACTGCCTGAAAGCCTCACTGAAATTTTCAGGTCCCCCAAGGAAGTGTTCTACATTCCACATCCAAGGCTTTCCACAACAACTTCCAGATGCGTGTTGTGACACTGTCAGACCAGCAAATATTACACAGTCTTTATTCAGTCTGTATTCCTCATGAATCCAGAGCCTGTCTCTGGCTGCAATGCATTTCTTGGACTTTTCTGTTAAGATACCATCTTCCAATTGCTTAAGCACTGTTATTTTGCCATTTCTGTCTAGTTGTACATCTTTTAACTTCTACGTCTCAGTCAATCCCAATTTACATTGGAAAGTGTCACACAATAGTCTAGAAATTTCACTGCAAGTATCCTTTACCCCTCAGAAAACCACCCAAATACTAAAAAGAGAAAACAATGGTGGGAAAATCAAAATGTTTTTCTCTTTAAGTCTGCTGACTGTAGCTGTTTCCTGCCCATCACTGACAGTGAGCAGTGATCAGCCACGATTAAGTCATGTTGGAACAACCAGCACCAAGAATCAATGTGGTTTAACCACATATAGGGAAGTGTACCCAGTCAGTGAAAGCCACTGCTCTACTGCCTTGGGGAACCTGCTTCTCTCTTTACTAGCTTCTGGACAATTTGTGTTAGTTTCTGTTCTTGTTCTTCATTGCTCCTTTTCCCTAAAATTCCCATCACTGCTTGCTGTTCCATCCTCAGCAAACGCCACCTGCGGCTGTGGCTTTTCCACCTGCTCCCTTCAGCTAAAGCTACCCTGTGTTTCTGTTTCTTCACAGCTGTTATGTTACTTGTTTCAAAGAAAAGCCATTAAAACCAGCACAGCAGGCACAGGGCCATAAGCAGCTCCACTTCCAGAGCAGAACTTCATTTACTCTTGTTCTTACCAGGACATCCAGTCAGCCCTGCTGCCAGGACAATGAATTAGACAGGCTCAAAGAACCACAGGCTGCACTTACTATCAAATAAAGTTTAAGACAACAAAGGACATCCTGTGTTCCTTTAAAATTTGATTATTACTCTTGTGACACATTTATAGGCACAAAATAATTCTGACAGGTGTTTATCTCAAATTAAAATCAGTTCCTGCAGACTGATGCTGATATTCAACAGAGCTGGAATTGCAGCTGTAATGCTCAGAGAACCAGCAAGCCCTTCAGGACCCGTCTGGCTGCAGACATTGAGGCATTAAAACCACTGGAAGGGCATCCTGCTTTCACTGTGGGAAGGATCCACAATCGTGTGTGTGCTACACAAAGAAAATGGAACTCTTCAGATTAATTCTACATTTGCTAGCTGTTAACACAACCTGATCAGACCAGGATTTCTGATGACTACAGGGACCCAGATGTTAGTGGTGTGCAAAAGAATAAAAAGAGGAAGAACAATCTTCTGCACTGC